AGAGAATCTTAAGCAGGCTCCACTGCCAGAATGGAACCTGATGTGGGGCTTGATCTCATGACCCCGAGATCATGACCTGAGCCAAAATCAAAATTCAGATGTTTAACCAACTGAGCTATCCAGGCACCCCTGAATATACTATGTTCTTTTTCTTTACTTTCTTGGCTTCATTTTGGATTGAGTGCTTCTTTTATTTTATTGTTCTGTTTTGCTTTTTCCCACTAGTGTGGAAATAACATTGTTTGTATATATTCATTTTAGTTTTTATCCTGGAAATCATAATATATATGGTTAACATAATCTAAAATTAACAAATTTTTCCCTCCTCCTAGGGAATTTAAGAATCATAGAATATTTTAACTCAACTTAGCTCCATTTTGACTTATATGTAAATTTTATCTGATTTGACTTGTGACATTTAATTTCACTTGTGACATTTAATTTCACAAGATGTGATTATTGCTAGTCATACTGTCAATTTATGTTTGATTTTACCAACATATTTCCTATTTCTTATTTTTTTCTATCTTCTTGGCACATGGATTTTTCATCTGGGATTTTCTTGAGAAAAGGACTGTTCCTTTAAATAAGTTTCTTTAATAAGTGTCTATTAATAGCAAACTCAGTTTTTGTTAATATGAAAATGTCTATGGTGAGGTCAGCTGGGAAGATGGCAGAGTAAGAGGACCCTAAGCTCACCACTTCCCATGGATACAACTAGATAACAACCATAATTAGCATAAATAACCCAGAAAATGACCCAAAGACTGGCAGAACAAACTCCAAAACTAAAGGCAGGGAAGAGGCCACATCAAAGAAGGAAAGAAGAATGAAGGACAAGGAGAATGAAACAGACTATGGATGTCCAGTTTAAGGAGGGAGCTGGTGGCACAGAGAAGGGTAGAAAACAGAGTCACACCAGGGAGCCCACAAATAGGAAGGACAAATTTCCATAATACTTGCCTTTGAAAGTGAAAGGGGCTGAATTTTGAGAGTTCTTAAAACCAGTGGGACTTGAAGCCTGGAATTTTAAAAATCATTGGGCTTGGCTCTGGGAGAGTGCAGACAGCCTTAGGAAGTGGAGCCCCCACACTTAAAAAGACAGTATGACAAACAGCCGATGCAGTTACAGTGTAGACCCAGCATTTGAAAAACGCCAGGGGCAGATGGGAGGGAGAGTGATCTGCTCATCTCAAACTGTAGCCCAGAAAGACAGCAATCATGGGGAGACCTCTCCAGGAACAAAGGAGTTGGCAGGTGCCATTCCCTTCTCCTCCCCTCCAGCATAAACAACAGTCACCTGCAGAAAACAGCATGGTGCCAACACTCAATTTTTGTGTGCACCAAGCCCTGTGCTTAAGTGGATCTGCCCTTCCCAGTCATTCTCTCTTCAGTCCCAGTGCCACAGGTCCCATCTTCAGAAGACTGGTGCAAACCTTGTTAACACCACATATCCTGATCCACATGTTGTGCAGGACTCAGTTCCAGAGGTGGCAGGGGCAGATCGTAGGCAGACCACCACACACCTTGCTGGCCATAAGACGCAAAAAGAGCCTCTGCAGACCACTGACTTGAAGGAAAAAGAGGCCAAGACTCAATAGCAGAGCATATGCAACACACAAAGGAGACACTCCCTGCAGCACCAGGACCTGGGGAACAGGACCTCTTCTTCATAAGGGTATTATCAATAAGAGCAAGAGAAGTAGCTGACTTTCCTAACACATAGAAACAGACACAGAAAGTCAGACAAAATGAGGAGACAGGGAAACATCTTCCAAATGAAAGAAGAGGACCAAATCACAGCAAGAGACCAAAGCAAAACAGATATAAATAGTATGCCTAATAGAGAATTTAAAGTAATGATCATAAAGATACTCACTGTGCTGGAGAGAAAAGTGGAGGACATCAGTGAGACCCTTAACACAGAGATACAAAAAAAAAGAACCAATCAGAGATGAAAAGCATGATAAATGAAATTAAAAATACACTTGATGAAATAAATAGCAGGCTAGATAAAGGGAGGAATGAATTAATGACCTGGAAGACAGAGTAATGGAAAGTAACAAAGCTGAGCAAAGGAGAGGAAAGAGAATTATGCAAATTGAGAATAGTTTCAGGGAACTCAGTGACTCCATCAAGTATAATAACATCCACATTGTTGGGATCTCAGCAGAAGAAGAGAAAGATAAGGGAGTAGAAAATTTATTTGAAGAAATAATAGCTGAAAATTTTCCCTAATCTGGGAAAGGAAACATATCCAGTTCCTGGAGGCACAGAGATCCCCCAGAAATTCAACCTAAGGAGGTCCACACCAAGACACATAGTAATTAAAATGGCAAAAAGTAGTGATAAAGAACAAATTTTAAAAGCAGCAAGAGAAAAGGAGTCAGTTACCTATAAGGGGAAACCCCATGAGGTGCTAAGATTTTTCAGCAGAAACTGCAGGCCAGAAAGGAGTGATGTGATATATTCAAAGTGCTGAAAGCGAAAAGTCTGCAGCCAAGAATACTCTATCCAGCAAGACTATCATTCAGAATAGAAGGAGCTATAAAGATTTTCTTACACATACAAAAACTAAAGGAGTTCAGGACCACTAACAAGAAATGTTAAAGGGGACTCTGAATAGAAAGGAAGACCGTAGTGAGAGTATGAAAAAGAAAAAAATACAAAAGCAGTAAAAATAAATATTTCTTTCAAAATCAGTCATGGGATTCATAAAATAAAAGGATGTAAAATATGATACCATATACCTAAAATATTGGTGAGGGAGAGGAATAAAGAATGGGTTAAACTTAAGCATTCATCAACTTATATAGACTGCTATATGAAAGATGTTATATGCAAACCTAATGGTAACCACAAATTAAAAACCAGTAATAGATATGCAAAGAATAAAGAAAGAGGAATTTAAGTATATCACTAAAGAAAGCCAACAAACCATGAAAGAGAGCAAGAGAAGAAAGGAAACAGAGAAAATCTATAGAAACAACTACAAAAAAGTAACAAAATGGCAATAAATACATATCTATCAATAATTACTTTGAATGTAAATGGAAAAAATGCTCCATTCAAAAGACATAAGGTGATGGATTGGGAAAAAATTGACCCATCTGTATACTGCTTATAAGAAACTCATTCAGACTGAAAGACACCTGCAGATTGAAAATGAGGGGATGGAGAAACATTTATCATGCAAATAGATGCCAAAATAAAGCCGGTGTAGCAATACTTACATTGGACAAAATAGACTTTAAAACAAAGACTGTAATAAGAGACAAAAGGACACTATATAATAATAAAGGGGGCAATCCAACAAGAGGATATAACAAAGGTAAATATTTATGCACCCACCATGGGAGCACCCAGATACATGAAACAGTTACTAACAAACATAAAAAAATAATTGATAGTAATACAATAATACCAAGGGACTTTAACACCCCACTTACATTGATGGACAGATCAACCAAGTAGAAAATCAACAAGGAAACAGTGTCTCTGAATGATACACTGGACCAGATAGATTTGACAGACATATTCAGAACATTCCATCCTAAATCAGTAGAATACACATTCTTTCAAGTGCACAAGGAACATTCTCCAGAACAGATCACATATTAGGCCAAAAACATGTCTCAACAAAGTCAAAAAATTGAAGTCATACCATGTATCTTTCCTGACCACAATGATATGAAACTAGAAATGAACCACAAGAAAAAATCTGGAAAGAGCACAAATACATGGAGGCTAAATAACATGCTACTAAAAAATGAATGGGTCAACCAAGAAATCAAAGAAATAAAAAAATACATGAAAACAAATGAAAATGAAAACACAACAGTCCAAAATCTTTGGGATGCAGCAAAAGTGGTTCTAAGTGGGAAGTTTATAGCAATACAAGCCTACCTCAGGAAGCAAGAAAAATCTCAAATAAAAAACCTAACCTTACACCTAAAAGAACTAGAAGAAGAACAAACAAAACCCAACCCAGCAAAAGGAAATAATCAAGATTAGATCAGGAATAAATGATATAGCAACTAAAAACAAACAAACAAAAAAACAATAGAACAGTCAATGAAACAAGGAGCTGATTCTTTGAAAAGATCAACAAAATTGATAAACCTCTAGCCAGACTCATCAGAAAGAAAAAAAAAAGAGAGAGAGGACCCAAATAATCAAAATTACCAATGAAAGATAAGAAATAGCAACCAAGACCACAGAAATACAAACAATTGTAACAGAATATTATTAAAACCTATATGACAACAAATTGGACAACCTAGAAGAAATGGATAAATTCCTAGAAACATATAACTTACCAAAACTAAAGCAGGACGAAATACAAAATTTGAACAGCCCAATAACTAGCAATGAAATTGAATCAGTAATCAAAAACTTCCCAACAAACAAAAATCCAGGACCAGATGGCTTCACAGGCAAATTCTACCAAATATTTAAAGTAGCTAATACCCATTCTTCTCAAACTATCCAAAAAAATAGAAGAGGAAAGAAAACCTCCAAATTCTGTGAGGTCTCTTTCACCCTGATACCAAAACCAAATAAAGACACTACAGGCCAATATCTCTCATGAATATAGATGCAGAAATCCTCAATAAAATATTATCAAACCAAATCCAACAATACACAAAAAAAATTATACATCACAATCAAGTAGTATTTATTCCCAGGATGCAAGGGTGGTTCAATAGTCACAAATCAATGTGATATGTCACATCAATAAGAGAAAGAATCAAAACCATATGATCACACATTGCTACTTTATCTGTTTATCAGGGACAGGGAACTTTAGTTTTAGATCTTATATGATGAGAATAGACAATAATCTTTGCAGTAAACACACATCTTACTTAGGGTTTTCTAAATCCCACAGTCAGCAATTGCAGGATAAATTAAATATATAGAAAATCATTTGCTGAATATCAGCTACAAGGTGAAATATAGTCTCTTAAAAGAATTCAGTTCTAAATGTTATATTAATAGTGCTTGCTTCGGCAGCACATATACTAAAATTGGAATGATACAGAGATTAGCATGGTCCCCACACAAGGATGACACTAAATGCTGTATTAATAATTCACAGATACTGATTTTAACAATAGCCAAATGTGATTTGACATAAACCACAGCTGTGCCATTTTGCCTTACTAATGGATGTGCCCCCTCCCCAAATTATTTGGTACAATAAGATTCTGTAAATCAAGCATTTTTTTATTCTTATCAGTTTTTGGACAGAAGTAAGGTATAAAGTCCTAAGCCCTAAATTAATAAATTTTTTGTTATATTATTATTTCAGAGTTCTCATTTCCTCTAAACTATCTTTATTATCTGTAGTTTTTAGCACTTCTAATTTCTCTGTCCCAACAGAGATTTATAGACCAACAGTTAGTAGACACCCTCTGGGTTAACTCTTAACCCCTCCTTTCTGGGTCTTCCCCCTTTCCTCCATGCACATATTGTAAAGAGACTCCCAGTGGGCATGTTTACTAAAGGGTCACAGTTGATGGGATCATGGGTGGGAAGCATATTTGCCAAAAAGGGTCACATAAGGTGACCCAATCTGTTGGTCTGGGGGAATGGGTAGAGCTGATTGAATTGATTCATTCTGTTGTTCTGATGGCTGGAGCATTAACATTTAAATTTGGAATTGTTGAGAATAGTATTTTTGACCCTGTGGCCTGGGAAGCAGAGAGCCGGTCAATAGTGAGAGGGAAGAGTAAAGCCAGAGACAAGTGAGAAAGAAATCCTGAGGGTATAGAAGGCTCTAACTCTCTTGCTTCCTGAAGTTCAATTGCAGCTCTATTAACCCTCCCCCCATTTTTAATTATGCTAGTTCAAAAAGGCTACCATAATTGCAGTCCCAAAATTCCTAGATTTGTATTATTAGGGAGACAATGTATATATCTCTGATATTCAGTTATCTGTGATTTCTAGCACCTGAATTTCTGCTCTGCAAAAATTAATACTTAAATATAGTTATAGAGACCTGTAGTAGAAGAGTATAAAATTTTCATCCCTCAGATTACTGTTGATGTAATGAAGCTCCACTTAGATATGTTGAGTATTTGTTTGAAGAGATCAAATCTGTAACCCACCCAATAACATTCTAGACCCCTGACCATGTGTCAGGCTTTCTTCTAAATATGTTAGATGAATTATCTCAGTTAATCCTCACAACCACTCAGTGAAGTAGGTACAGTTATAACCAGGGATGAAAAGGGAGGCACAGCAAGAGTTTAGTGAGTTGCTCACAGGTAGTAATGCTGGGTCAGGCACTCAAACCTGGTGGTCTGACCAAGGCGTTTTTGTTTTTTGGATTTTTTTGGACCAGTAAATTTCTCCCATTTATGCATTTAATTATTTTTAACTGAAGTATAGTTGACATATAATATTATATTAGTTTCTGATGCATAACATAATAATTTGACAATTGCATGCATTATAATATGCTCACCATAATAAGTGTAGTTACCATCTGTCACCATACAAAGTTCTTACAATCTTATTGACAATATTCCCTATGCCGTACTTTACATCCTCATGATTTTTTATTGTATAACTGGAAATTTGTACCTATTAATCCCTTTCACCTATTTTATGTATCCTCCTCTGGCAACCATTAGTTTGTTCTCTGTATTTATGAGTCTGTTTCTGTTTTATTTTGTTTATTTGTTTATTCATTTGTTTGTTGTCTCAGTTCATATATAATGAAATCATATAGTATTTGTCTTTCTCTGTCTGACTTATTTCACTTGGCATAATGCCTTTTCGGTCCATCCATGTTGTTATGAATGGCAAGATTTCATTGTTTTTTATGACTGAGTAATATTACATTGTATATGTATATACCATAACTTCTTTATACATTCATCTATCAGTGGACGCTTGGGTTGCTTCTATACCTTGGCTATTATAAATAATGCTACAGTAAACATCAGGGTACATATATATATAAAAAACTCCATATGATCATTTCAATAGAGGCAGAAAAAAACATTCAACAAAGTACAACATCCATTCATGATAAAAATGCTTTGCAAAGTAGGCCTAGAGGGAACAAATCTCAACACAATAAAAGCCTTATATGAAAAACCCACAGCCAACACCATACTCTATGGTGAAAAACTGAGAGCTTTTCCTCTAAGGTCAGGAACAAGACAAGTTTGTCCTCTCTCACCACTTTCATTCAACATATGCTCATGGATTGGCATAACAAATATTGTTAAAATGTCTACACTACCCAAAGCAATCTACACAATTATTGCAATCCTTTCAAAAATACCAATAACATTTTTCACAGGACTAGAAAAAACAATCCTAAAATTTGTATGGAACCATAAAAGACCTCAAATAGCCAAAGCAATCTTGAAAAATAAAACTGGAGGCATCACAATTTCACACTTAGTTATATTATAAAGCAGTAGTAATTAAAACAGTATAGTACTGGCACAAAAATTGACACATCGATCAATAGAACAGAATAGAGAGCCCAGAAGTAAAGCCATGGTTATATGGTCAATTAATCTTTGACAAAGGAGGAATGAATATACAATGGGAAAAAGACAGTCTCTTCAACAGTGTTGGGAACTGAACAGCCACATGCAAAAGAACGAAACTGGACCACTCTGACTATACACAAAAATAAACTCAAAATGGATTAAAGGGTTAAATGAGAGACCTGAAACAATAAAAATCCTTGAAGAGAGCACAGGCAGTAATCTCTCTGACATCGGCCATAGCAAGATTTTTTAGATAGGTCTCCTAAGGCAAGGGAAATGAAAGCAAAAATAAACTATTGGGACTACAACAAAATAAAAAGTTTCTGCGCAGCAAAGGAAACAACAAAACCAAAAGGCAACCTACTAAATGGGAGATGATATTTGCAAGTGACATACCTGATAAAGTGATAGTATCCAAAATATAGAAAGAACTGATACAACTCAACACTCCAAAACCAAATAATCCAATTAAAAATGGGCAGAAGACCTGAACTGACATTTCTTCAAAGAAGATATACAGATGGCCAACAGAAACATGAAAAGATGCTCAACATTACTTATCATCAGGGAAATACACATCAAAACTACAATGCAGTATCACTTCACACTTGTCAGAATGACTAAAATCAAAAACACAAGAGAAAAGAAGTGTTGAAGAGGTGGAGAAAAAGGAAGCTTCTTGCACTGTTGGTGGGAATGCAAACTGGTGCGGCCATTATGGAAAACAATAGGGAGGTACTTCAAAAAATTAAAAATAGAACCACCATAGGATCCGGGAATCACACTACTGGGTATTTACCCCCAAAATTCTAAAACACTAAATCAAAGGGACACATGCACCCCTATGTTTATTGCAGCATTATTTACAATAGCCAAACTATGGAAGCATCCCAAGTGTCTGTCAATAGATGAATGAATAAAGAAAATGTTGTATATACATACAATGAAATATTATTCAGCTATAGAAAAGAATGAAATCTTGCCATTTGCAACAACATGGATACAGCTAGAGAGGATAATACTAAATGAAATAAGCCCATCAGAGAAAGACAAATACCATATGATCTCACTCATACATGTAATTTAAGAAACAAAACAAATGAGCAAAGGGAAAAAAGAGAGAGAGACAAACCAAGAAACAGACTCAACTATAGAGAACAAACTGATGGTTACCAGAGGGGTGGTTGGTGGGGGGATGAGGGAAATAGGGAATGGGGATTAAAGAACATACTTATGATGAAAAAAATAAAATAAAATGAAAATTAAGTAAAAATATACAATCGTGATTGAAAACAAAAAACGAAAAAAAAATAAACTCGTACCTCAAAAAAAAAAAAAAGAAAATGTCTGTATTTCGTTCTTATTCTGGTGAATTTCAGTTTGACAGTAACTTTCATTCATTCAACTTTCAGATCATTAAAGATATCCTACTCTCTTCTACCTTCTCTTGTTGGTTTTAAGACATCAGCTGTCATTCTAACTACAACTTCATTGATAATATGTGTCCTCTTTTTCTAAGATTTTTTTGTTTTCTGTTGTATAAAGTTTTACTCTGAGGAGTAGCTCTGGATTATTTTTTAATTTATCCTGCTTATGATTCAATTTCTTGAATCTGTTGATGATGTTTGTTATCCAGTTCAGAAAATTTTTCAGTCATTATCTTACTGGATATGGCCATTGCCTCATTCTATCTTGCCTATCCTCCAAATTTCTATTTAGACATAATTAAACCTTCTCTAACTTTCTCTATATATTTTTATTTCCTATTTTTCTTCATCTATTGCCTTCTCTGCACTAGATTCTAGATAACGTTTTCACATAAAATTTTCAAGTTCATTATTTCTTCAGCTTTGTCTAATCTGCAGGTAAACCTGTATTATATACCTTAATTTCAATTATTTTATTTTTCATTTCTAAAATTTATATTCAGTTTTCTCAAATCTGCTCTCATTGCAGATATTTCCAAGATAGCTTCTATTGCTTAAAGTAAGCATATTTATCTTATAATCAGTGTCTAATAAATATTAATACAAATTATTTGTCCTTTTTCGTGATGTCTATTTTTCTATTGGTTTGACTCATAGTGCCTTATTTTATTATAAATAAAAATATATTTTTCCAGAGATGATATGATTTCAATTCTGTCAGCTATGTAGAGGTACTATCAGATTGCCATCATGTTACAATAAGTTCACATGTAAGATTGTTCTTAAATTATATTCTGAATTTATGTTTGTTTCAGAAAAAAAATTATCTACCCCTCTTTATTTTCCCACATGGAAGTTCTATACCATTTGTTAGCCCTCTAATTCTTTCACTTTTTCTGTCCAAATTTATTTCTCTATTCCAATATCATAAAACTCATATAATGCTTCTTTGTCCAAAAGTGTTTCTGCACTTTAAGTTTTAACAATTTTTTATCTTTTGCTTTCTATGCACTCACTGTAAGCATCTTTCCTAAAGTCAAGGTATCATTTACAACTAAAGGATTCTCAGTCTATATACAAGAAATACTAACCATAGTTGGCTTTCGATATATTTCACTAAGTTGGAAAAATAGGTTATTAAAATACTGCTTAGGGGAGCCTG